ATCACCTGATTCTTGAAAGCTACTTGCTTTCTCTTCTTTTGTTTGACAGGCGGATATGATAGGTCTTCATTTAATTTGTGAGTCATTACCTCTGGCAGTAGTCCTGTCATATCAGAATGGGACCAAGCAAAACAATCCACATTAGCAAACAAAAATTCAATCAACTTACCTTTCATATCCTGGCTTAGATTGGCCCCTACGTAGACTTTCTTTTCAGGCCATTGTGTAGACAACACTACTGCCTCCAGCTCTTCAATTGTTGCTTTGATATTTTCGTTTTCCTCTGGTTCTTGAATGGTATCAGGCCTTGAGTCCACATCTGTTCGCCCTTGTTCAGTTGAGGTTTGTGTTGTGGTACCCTCAACTAGATTCTGTAACCGATATTTTTCTTCGTTTCTCATACTTGAATCTGCAATACAGTTGATGCTCCTGAATGTCTGTTGATCCCCAAGAATTTGACATATCCCCCATGGTGATGGAAATTTAATAACTTGATGTAAGGTTGATGGAACAGCATCCATCTTATGGATCCATGGTCTCCCGAGAATCATATTGTAAGCCATCTCCATATCTACCACCTGAAATTTTGTATCCTTGACAACTCCTTCTGCAAATGTAGTAAGTATTACCTCTCCTTTCGTTACGACGCTGGAATTGTCGAATCCAGACAAAGTATGTGCCTTTGGTACTAATTTATCTTCAGCTTGCATCTCGTGTAGTACTCTTAGCAGAATAATATTCACGGAACTACCTGGATCAATCAAAACTCGTTTCACATTAGTATCATGTACAAGTAGAGATATTACCAGTGCATCGTTATGTGGAGATAATACGCCATCCGCATCTGCATCATCAAATTTAATACTTTCTTCCTCTAAGACATGTCGCACCCGCTTCCCGTGGGTAATTGTGACTTTGGAAACTTTATTGGATACTGTGTACGTCACACCATTGATTTCTTCCCCCTCCGCGTATAACATTGACGGTTCTTTTGGGAGAAGGCGGTTTTGGGGGCTCCTGCCTATTCTTCATGTATGCTTTCTTACCTTTCTCACTGAATAATTTGGTGAGATACCCTTGCTTCAATAGATGATCAACTTCTCCTTGTAGCAACCTACAATCTGCCATTTTATGACCATGATCATTGTGAAATTCGCACCAATGATCGGGATTGCGCCTGTTTGGATTCGATCTCATTTCTTTTGGCCACCGCACCTTGTCACCCATGCTTCTTAAAACAGCTACGAGCTCGGAAGTGCTTACATTAAAATTATAACCGCCAAATCTTGCCTCCGAGTTTCTATCATCGCCCCGCGACTCTCGCGTGTTTCGATCATTCCCAAATCTTGATGATGAGCCCGACTCTCTATTCCTCGATTTATGATCGTACCTTGAATTGTCCTGTTTTGATCGTACATCTCTTCCCGTTGGGCCCATATATGGTTCGTACCTATTTTTACCGGACCTTTTTTCGGTTTTCGCCCGTCTCGAACTTACCTTTTCCTCTTTTTGAGACCGTGAGATAATATCTTCTTCTATCCTTAGCTTCGTGCTATACCTATTGTATACGTCATTCCATGTTGTTGCTGGGAATTCACGAAGACTTTCCTTGAGTCGCCTCGTGGCTTCTGAGCTTTTTTCATTCAAATTACTAGTGAAGGCTATAGCTGCCCAATTGTCTGGTACTTGTGGTAACGTCATTCTTTCACGCTGGAACCTATCTACGAATTCTCTAAGCAACTCTGAGTCCCCTTGCTTGATTTTGAAAATATCCTCCATTCTTTTTTCGACTTTTTGAGCTCCCGAATGTGCTTTGATAAATGAATCTGCAAGCTCAGCAAAAGAATTTATGGAATTTTCGGGTAAAAGAGAATACCATGTTAATGCTCCCTTAGTGAGTGTTTCACCGAATTTTTTGACCAATACTAATTCGATTTCCGGTTTGGTCAGGTCATTGCCTTTTACGCCAGTTGTGAATGCAGTCACGTGGTCTCGTGGATCAGTTGTTCCATAATATTTTGGAATATCGGGCATTTTAAATTTCTTTGGAATTGGTAGAGGAGCAGCGGTTGGCTTCCAAGGTTGCTGTGAATATTTATCCATATCTATTCCTTTGATTACAGGCGGTACTCCAGGTATTTGCTCTATGCGGTCACTTTGCTCCTTGAGCTGTTTCTGCAACGTTAAAACTAAATTTTGTAAATCGGGATTGACTAAGTTACCTGGTTCTACATCTCATGACTCACTGGGGATTCCGCCACTGCCTGAATTAACAAGCCCAGAACGAGGGTTTTCCAAAGTGTTGGCATTTGGAATTGGTGTTGATGGTGCAACAGGTAACTGGCTGAGGCCTCAAGAGCTTTATTGACCTGTTGAGCGATCAGCTTCTGCAAAGCTTCATTGATAGCTTCATCGTTGTCAAATTGAGCATTTGCGTTTGAGTGAGATCCATCAGGAGTTCCTTCTCGAGACCGCCGAGGCGAACTTTGTGGAGAAGGAATCGGAGTGTGAACATCTTGTGGGTCCTTTGGAGTTGATGGTTTCCTTGGGTGTTATCGTTAACATTTGACATGATTGTTGATGTAAAGAAATAGGTTAGGTTAAGAAAGAATAGATTATCAGATTCCCGGTAACGGAACCAATTTGTTTAACCAAAAAATGGAATTTCAGTCAAAGCTTTATTTTTAGAAGAACTCGGGTTACTGATAATCGAAAATGAATAAAAGAAATTGATTTTGATAACAAATAGATAGCAGAAAACAAAGTAATCAAGTATATTCAGTTGATTTTTCGTGTCCCTACAAATGATCAGTCTTCTCCCTTTTATAGTTATTTCTAAGTTATACGTTTTGCCTTTGTCATAATAAGGTCATTATGGACGATTAAAGGTATTAAATGCTACGTTACATAATCATTATAATTTAATACAGATTCTCTAACGCTTTCAGTATTTAATGCTTACTAAATACTGTATCTGGGCTCTCCTATGCTGTCAGGTTCATTCTTCTCAGCTTTTAGACTTAAATAGGTACGAGCTTCGAGTCTTCTTGAATATTTGCTCGTGCCTCTTCTTGTGCTTCCGCTCGTATCTGTTGCAACTCGTGCCTCTTTGCTAATCATCATTCTTTGACCTGCCTACGTGTCATGACATGTCATCTTTCAATCACTTCGATATGTATAAACTCAGTTTTACCCAATACAAGTAAGAATGAAGATACTTTATCATGGTTTATAAACTTATCTCCGCTTTATTATTGTAATTCTTTATTTTAAAAAGTATTATGAACAGTTGTTTGTGTTGATGGTTTACCGCTGGCTTGTCTAACGGTATCGTTTGGCGCCATCACGGCCTATGGTGGAAATTGAGTTGTGATAGTCAAAGACAGGGATGTCAATACAGTAGATGCCAATCATGCTTCACAGACTATTTAGAAAATTCTAAATGCTAGAAATACCTGGAAGAGGTAGCTTTGAGGATAGGAGTTGTTGTGGTAGCTGAGGACTACTCTATAAGGGGAATGTACTATCTTCTAAGAGGAGATTTCCCTAAAGTAAACTGGAAGAAGCTGATATGTAATACTCAAGCCATCCCAAAATGGATATTCAAACTATTCATAGCAGTTCAAGAAAGGCTATATACTAAAGATAAGTTAATAAGTTGGGGAACGGGAACTGATCCTATGTGTGCATTGTGTGAAGCTGAACTAGAACGCCACCAACACCTATTCTTCATGTGTTGCACATCTGCAAGGGTGTGGCTGCATATCCTGCATTGGCTTGGTATCAAAAGAGGTTATATGAAATGGAGCGAGGAGATCGAATGGGCAAGAGTACAAGCTAATGGAAGGAATTCCCTGGCAGAGATCTATATATAGAATGAGTTTGGCTCTTACAATATATCATTAGGGATGGCGAACGGGGCGGGGCGGGTTTAAGCTTATGCGGTGCGGGTTCAAGAATTTTTTTTTAATTTAACTGCAGTTGCGGGCGGTTGCGGGTTATGCATTTGTTTAATACCTGTATCGCACATTTGCTGCTTTTCGTCAAAGAAGATTCAAATGTTGTCGCAGAGTTGAAATCTGCTTTCTCAATTGGAATCTGCTTGATAAACTTTCCCTTGCTCATCTTTATATCTTTATTTTTATTTTAAATTTTGTTAGTTCATTAATCTTCTCTTTTCTTGCTCCTTTAAGCTTAAATATGTGGGTCATATAATATATTCTAGTTATAAATATGAACATATTCAGATATTACCAATTTTTGGGTCATTAAAATATTGGTGCATCTATCCGATAGGAATGTAGCATGTACTAGTTTTAAGAAAATATATTAAAATTGATTATAATTAACTCACTAATCAAATTACTACTTTTATTATGGAGTCATATGCTAAAAGATATTTTCTAACAAGTTAGTAATAGACATACAGTACCACATGAAAAACATTATGAACATAGCTGGAACTACCGAGAAAAAGAGAAAAGAAGGCCATAGGTTATCATTAATTTTTTTGGGAACTTTTTTTAAAAGAGAAACTACTCGTTAAAAAATGAAAAAATAATTTTTTTCTTTGCAGGGCGGTTTGGAAACAGAATATCTTGTTATGCGGTGCGGGGCGCGGCGGGTTGAACTTTATGCGGGTTAAGGATGAACTCGCCCCGCAACCGCTCCGTCCCATTGCCATCTCTATATATCATGTATGGCAAGAAAGGAACTACACGATATTCCAACAGAAGAAGAGGATACTAGAAGAGATAGCAAGATTGATAGTGCAAGAAGTCTACTATCGAGGAATTATGAAGTCAAAATTGACAAAGCAACAGAATTGTCTAAACTTCTGTCCTAGTCTATAAACTGATTTGTAAGAGAGGAACAACGGAGAATGAGCTGTTGCAGTAATTTGTTTATACTAGAGTTGAGGTCTTATGTCCAACTCTAGAGGTTTTTTGATATACTTGTAAATATTTTATCTAGTAATAAAATTTGATAGTTACCAAACATAAACCAAAGTGTTGTATCTCCTTAACCAAATCATAATGTTGGATCCACGACAAATTGACCATTACATGCAGGGCTTATCCCAAAAACACTCAATACCCCGCTTATGGCAAACCTATGAATAATATGTACATTTTTTTTTTATTTTACCAAAACTGCTTTTAGTAAAAATACCATAGGAATCAAGAAACTTTCTGTAATCCTAGCTAGGCCATCAACAACTGTTTGTCTTCTTTTAGCCCAACCCTGTTGTCAGATCTATCTAAACTGCTAGACATATCTACACCTGCTAAAACAATTTCTTCAAATCTCTGCTTTGAATCCAAAGATGAATTTCTTGATAATAGGCCAATTGAGGCTAAAGCCAAAAGCTCAGATTCATCAAGTCCTTTTGCAGGACCAAGACTGCACTGATCAGTCCCATACCTTGCTAATGCATCCTTGAATTTCTTGATCTGCACAAATACAAATTTTACCATAAGAAAGTTTGATTCTTTTATATTTTTGATATAACCGGTTAAATTGCACTGATAACCTATAAATTCTTTCACTGACAGTGTATATAATTTAACTGTCCAAAAACCACAGTACTTACTGTTGCATTAGTACAACTAAAGCTACAAACTTTGCCTCGTGCACCCCTGTAGAATCTGAAGAAGGGTAAGACATGTATATGAAGAGCATGGCACATGGTTTTTAGTTCTTCATAATTCACTTTGAGGAAAATGGCATCAGGGTTTGATTCAGCCAGCTGACAGATCTGCAAAAACATTAATATTAGCACAAAAAATAAGAAAAATTGTCAATTGGTCAATTTGATCCCAAAATCTAGTACCTTAGGATGTAAAGCCTTGCAACCTCCACAACCAGGGGAATAAAAGTCAATAATCACTAATCTGTCACCAGCATTCAACAATGAATTCACAAGTTCTTTTGCTGAATGGATCTCTACCATGTTGGGTTTAAGGGTCTTTTCCCACCATCTCATTGCTTTGCTAAAACATATTGATGCTTGTGCCTGTCACCACATAATAAAACCTTACTGATTTAATTAAACCAAATTAAAAATATCTTGTAAAAAAGGAGAACACAAGAAGGAATATAATCCTTAAAATTAATGTCCAACAAATTAAAACATACGTTGACCAAGATGGGTTTTGAATCTTTAACATTCCAATGGTTCAAACCAATTTGATTCGACAAATCCAAGGATTTTCCAAGAAACTCTTTGGTTGATAACTCGAGAAGTTGCAGAGTGCCAAAACCAGAAGACCCTTTGGCTTTGGACTTGAAGTTTGCTTCACAGGAATTATAAACAGAGAAACCAGTCTTCAAAGAAGCTGTCATTTTTGCTAAGAATCTTTGGACTTGTCAAGCTTAATGCATGTAACAACAAATTCCCACCAAATCCCACCTTCACTTTTAGATCATCAACAAATAGAAATGGAAGAAGAAATATATCCAGGCAAGAACTACTCAACTTTTTCGATAGGAAATTTAAGGTAAAGCTTGTATCGTTTGGAACAATAAATACTTTGATCGTTGGGAAGGAAGAAGGGCCAAATGGAAGTCTAAGAAGTTGAATAAAAATAGTATCCTGGCCAGTGTTGGCTGGTGGGGGATGAATTGAATTATTAAAGGTGAAAAGTGTAGGGAAAAGGAGATAATTAGTGGGGCCATTGACTCAGATTAAAATCTTTGAACTTTACCCACATAATCTTCTTGATTAACGGAAAGCAAAATTAGTGTACGTCTGTATAACGCGTAAAACATATTTTGACACCATTAAATCGAAGTTTTATCCAGAACATAGGGAAGGATGCGGATTTAAGGCTTGTTTATAGGAAGATATGTGCGTGTATTTGAGTTGGCATTTTCATATGTATTCATCATTTTGGATGATTGGATGAGATGCTTTTCAGGAGGACAGAATCCAAAATATTGGTATCTGGGTTACTAATTATTTGCTATATTATCGGTTAGTATTTGGTTGTTACCCACTGTAGTTTCACTTTCACCGCGTAGCTGACTCTGTCTCTACCAATTCGGCATTTTAGGATAATAGCCCCCACTCTGGAAGAGAAAAAAGAAAGATAAGAGCCCCCACAAACTCACCAATTACAAGGAAACCATATGCCAACAATGCAACATTATTGTATGTGGATACACATTTTTTTTCTCCACATGGATATATACATAATTCAATCGATATAATGCACCAACCTCATAATTGCAGTAGCAATTTCTATTGAATAATTTCTGGTCTTATTATTGTTTATAGTTATAGTCTTTTAATTGAAGAACTATTGAGTAAAATAATTATTGACTTCACTTCTCATATCGTTTGGTTGGGAACTAGTTATTCAAAATAATACCCTATTTACTTTTTAGTGCGTGCCAAAAAGAGTGACATATTTTTCTATTTAGAAACAATTTATCTTTGTGTACTGATTTAGCCTTACAAAATATATGTGGCTTATTTTACACCACAAGTTCAAAAGTCTTTTCTCTTTTATTAAACTCCGTGCCCAGTCAAATGGGTTCATATATAATGAAACAAAGGGAGTAATAATAATAATAATGATGATAATAATAATAATGGAATTATAATATGAAAATTAAATAATGATGAGATTATTTAGTGGATATACATTTATTGGTAAATATTTAGTTTAGTGGACCACAAATGGAATATACTAGGTAAAATATAGAATATGTGTTTGGTTTACATTAGGTAAGTTGTGATAAAATTTTGTTTCTTTTTTAACCTTGAATCTCTTAAGGACTTTGAAAGAAGTGCCTTGGAGAAGGGTATCATTGTCATTTTGGTATTTTATCTTGGTATTAGTTATCCCGGAATTATTATTGTTTACCTTTAAAATCGGATAACAATTTAATTTGCAAGTGGTTCTAAGGATACGTGGATTAAATTGACACAAAGCGATAAATTGAAAATACGATTAAAATAAGCAATGATAAAGTAGATTCAAACTGCACAACTTGAACAGTTACAACCTTGGCAAGTCAATCACACTTGAACTGGATGCAATTCAAACGATATCAAGAAACAGAAGAACAATAGCTTATAGAAAGAAAATAATATTATACTGCTTTGGGATGCATGTTACAATGTCTTTTACAAGTAATCAGACATCCTCTGTATAGTACGGAAGTCCTATATTAGGTACAGCTCTATAAAAGGTAAAAGATTTCATGATTTGCTGATTTGTCGGTTCTTTATTGATACGTGCCGAGATTCCCGCCGATAAATATCTGACCGGTCACGGGCATTTCGGCCTTCTGTTATTTCGGTCTTCTATTGACAATGTTTCCTCGAGCTCATTCGGGGTCAGGGTCAGGGTCGAGTTCGGGATCACAGACTCATTGTTCTTGAGGACGGACATTCTGATTTGGGATTCTGGCCCGGTGAGACTCGGGGTCGATCTCCAACCCCCAGGTTCTGAGCCCGATTTGTCATGTAATAGACGAACCCAATTTCGACCATATACAGATGTCCTCTCATTTTTCGGAGATTAAACAACAAGAAACGATATGAGCTTCCGATTTTCACTTCGATACTCTGTGTATGAAACGACAAAATGAACAAAACGTCTCGTCAGTCATGTCTTAAGGGCATTAAATGCTTTTTAGTTGTTGGTCGGCCACTCCTGGATTTGAACTGTCATTTGAAAACTATAAATACCCCCTTCCTTATCCATTCAAACTTTACTTCCAAGCTTCCTACCTATTGTTTCTTAGAAATTTCTCTATTTTCTAGCTCTTATACTCTGATTCTCTTGAGATCCTTTGTGAAGAATTTTGTTTTTCTCCACCCCAAATCATTAAGCGTATTGATCTAACTTCCTCTTCTTTTTCTTCCTCCATCTTTAAAAGAAATGGCGAAAACACGAAAATAGTTCCCCAAAAAGAAACCCTTTCTACATCGCGGCCTGCCGGCGAGGAACCAGTGGCGGAACCTCCTCTGGCACGTTCATTCCTGGCGGGTGTTTTGTAACCGCCGATTTTAAGGTTGAAAAACCTTCACCCGTACCGAGCCAGTCTGAGAAGGTCTTGAGGTAAATCTGCTCGATCACTGAAGAAATTCTCCCCACGGTCAAAAAGGATTGGAACTGGGTCGGTAAAGACGTGATGGTTCCTAGGCCCGGTGAAGGTATCACTACCCACGTCGAGGGATACTTAAGTGTTTATACTTATCCCTTTATGCTGGGCCCGTTGGGCCCTGTAATCATTGACTTCTGCAAAAGGTACGAGGTGTGCCTTGGCCAGGTCCACCCTTCATTCTGGAGGATCGTCATCCTTCTCCGGTTCTTTGTGAGCAAGATCGACAGATGCTCGTTCACTGTTGACCACCTTATGTGCCTATACAGTCCCCGACTATTTTAGGGGTACTGATCAAACTCCCGCGCCGGGCTAGTAGAGCCCCGTTCTCGAGCATCGATGAAGATTGGGATCGAGGCTGGCTAGGCCATTTTGTCCGAGTGAGGGCCTCGGACCGGATCCCAACAGAGTGCATGCCGTTCCTCGAGAATTGGAATACAAAACATATGTAAAATTTATTTTTTCCAAAATTTTACTCTCCTTTCCTTCTTTCTTAACGGTGTTAGGTGGTGGTGCAGCTATTGCTCGGGTTCCGAATGCGGTCCCTCGACTCAAGGAGTGGGTCGAGGGCATTGTGTCATAGAAGCCATATTCCAGCGCGCATGGCGCGAACTTTGGAAGGGCCGGTGGGAGGCCCGTTCTCATAGTGAGGCTTCCTTTCCTGAGTGAGTAATATTTTGCTCTTTTTGTGTTACTGGGTTCTCATCTGTTTCGGTTACCTTTGCAGGTTTATCCAAGGATGTCATGATGAGGCCTCCATCCAGTAAAAAGGATGACCCCGCCGAGTCCCCTGCTCCGAGACAGGGTGATGAGAAGAAAAGAATGAGGACTCCAAGTTCTCCGAACTTGGATAAGAAAAAACCGAGGAGGAGGTTGTTGCGAAAATCTAAAGAAAGCACCAGTTCTCAAGTACCATCATCGGACTCTCTCCGCCGGCTGCGGGACAAAATCGAAGAAGAAGAAGCCTCTGAACTGGTGGCCTGCGTGCGGTCACAGTTCGAGGACAAGGGGCCTCCGAATAAGAGAGAGGTGAGGCCAATCTGCCTCGAGCCAGGGAGGCCGACGAGGAGGTCGTGGCCGGGGCCAATGTGGGGGCCGTGGTCGAGGCCTCCCGAGATGAGGGTAGCGCCCCGAAGGATATACTTGGTGTGATAGACATCACCGAGTCGCCTTTGTTCACTAAGTCTATGATCAACGAGGCTCAGTGAAACCTCTCCCTAACAAGGGGGCCCATGGAGTGGACGACCCCTTCCGAGGCTTTTTTAGTGGCGTGGATTCCACCGCCACGGAGGACATCACGGGATTGGGTGACTTAGAGGTGCCGAGGAAGAGTCCATCATCGGGAACAAGCGGGCCTTCCTCGAGCCCGAAATTAATCATTTGGTTCCCAGCTCTAAGTATGGTCCTAGCCGAAAGCGATCGATCATCATCTCGATTCCGGAGGATGCCCGGGTACTTTATACTCCCGTAGGGGTGGCTAGTTACCTTTGGTGCTCGATGACCGAAGAGGACCAAGCCAAGATAAACGAGGTGGAAGCTCCGTGCCTGTTCAATGAAGCTCAACATGCATTAAACCGAGTAACTTCAGATACCTCTTGGTGATTTCTAGTTTGTACTTAGATCAATTTGTAGATGATCATAACTTCTTTCTCTGTGTATGTAGGCTTCGGTACTTCATCACGAGACTTTTCTTCGATATCGGGAAGAGCTAAACCAGTATGAGGCCGAGATTCGAGGTCTCACTGAGAAGAGATATGCCTACAAACTTCTCAACGAGCAAAGTGAAGGGGAGGCTAAGAGTCTTCGAGCTGAGCTAGAGGTAGCTCGGAAGGAGCATGCCGACCTGGTCAAGTAGGTAAGAAGAGTATTTGAGGTTAGTGACGATGAGTCAGACACGGTGACTAATGGTCCGAACGTGCAGGTCCAAAAGACGCTTGATCAGATCGAGCAACTCCAGGTAGAGGTGGATGCGGTAAAGGCCGAGGCCGAATAATGGAAAAGCAACAAGGACCGCTTGGCCTCAGAAAAGAAGACTGACCGGGCACAATTGGCTTCGGCTGAGGTCCATCTTCGAGTTGTAAAGGAAAAGGCCTTGGTGCAGGCCAAAAAGATTCAGGAGCTCCAGTCTCAGCTGAGATCGGCCGTTTCCAATCATGAAAATTTGGCCAAGGAGCTTGAAACGGTCAAGTCTGAGGCCGAGGTGGTTCAAGTTTTCGGGGTTTCGACTTATCGGCTGAGATTAAGAGTGCCAAGGAGCTCGAAGCCGAGGCTAAAAAGTTGGCTTATCCCAAGGATGATGAAGACTCTTGAGGAGTTGAGTGGATTCAAGGGCGCAGGAGACCCCGAAGGTGACGAGGCGGCCCCCGGCGAAGACTAGGACGTAGGTTATTTTCAGATGTTTTTGTTTTTTGCCTTTTTGTTGTGGCCGTTTGGCCTTTGTAAAAATTTGCATCAGGTCTATTTGGCCCTTTGTATAGAAGTTTTTCGATATGTATATAAGGTTTTTTCCCTCCAGCAATTTCTGAACTTTTTCCTTTGCTTTATTGTTTATGTTTGCAAAGATTTAAATGTCTTAGCACAAAATGGTTAGGTTATGTTAAGAGGTTTGA